GAATTCACATGTCCAACAGTTCAGTGTTTCAATACTTATTGCATAACATGCTGTTCTCTAACAAGGTGATTAACTGCAAAAATCACGTCTGATCCATGAATCGACCACTAAATGTTCTGCTTCACTGACAATTTATATTTAAACAGTCCTCTTCATCATGCTGTTCACATTTTGACATCATGAGACCAAGACAACACCTAACAATTGATCAAGAGTTCCTGGCCATTGCGAGGCTTCAAACGGGATGTTCTCAGAGGGAAGTTGCCTCTGAGCTTAGAGTGTCACGGAGTGTCATCAGCAGGTTGCAACAGAGACACAGAGAGACTGGAAGAGTCACAGAAAGGCATAGAAGTGGAAGTCCTTTGGCCACATCCAGGGTCAAAAAACACTAAGGCAAGGCAAGGCAACAAGGAACAGAAAAACACAGGAAATCAGGAAGACCCCTATTCCTCGGCTGGGATCGTTTAGACCCCTTTGAAAGAAACTGCAAACTGCAATTTGGACCTTCAAACCATTGGGTCCCATTGAAGTCCACTATATGGAGAAAAAATGTTTTCCTGAAAGAAAGACATGAGCATCTTGGATGACATGGGGGTGAGTAAATTGTCAGGAAATTTTTATTCTGGAAGTGAACTAATCCTTTAAGAGTTGTTGTTTTTGATTTACAGATGGCTTGCTGCTGTGTTTAATAATTTATGTTGTTAAAATAACATTCTGGGCTGCGTTTCCCAAAAGCATCATAAGCCTAAGTTTGATCGTAGAACCTTTGTCACCAATGGAGCTACGATCAACTTAGGTTTACGATGCTTTTTTTTTTTTTTTGCCCTGTTCCGTAAATGCATTGTCTGCTGGTTTGTTTAGGTACTTTTCAGAACACCACATTAAGTATGCCACTTAGTACTGTACTTTGAATGTTAAAGTGCAAATTAACACCTGACCACTCTTGTATCGACAGCTATTCTGTTCTGGTTAACCTAATGACAGAAATCACAGAAGAATCCCATGATGAATGTGGCAGGAAAGCTGCGGGCATTTTGGTCCATCTAGAAAGATTTGCTATGTATTTCGGTCTGCATCTTGCTTACATGATTTTCTCTCCAACCGAACAGTTATCCAAGACATTACAAACAACTGAAATGACACTACAAGACGCTCAAAATGCAGTTGCGATCACACAAAGTTTTATTCAACGGCAAAGGTCTCATGATGCATTTCAAGCATTTTTTTACTTCAGTGACAGAGGCTTCTAAGGATCTGACAGATGCTCTGGTTGCCAAGGCAACAGAAACTGCCCTAAAATCTTGGCGGAAGCAACAACAAGCATGAATTTCAAAGTCCTTCAGAATATTACCGACAACAGTATTTTGAGGTCTTGGACTAAATGAATTGCGGTCCTCGGTCGTCATTTTGATCAGAAAGACTTTAAGGTAGTGGTGGACTTGGAAAAACTCCTTTTCACAGCTGCCTCTGGGGAAGATGTGTCCACTCTCCAGCCTTCTATAACGAAGATGTGTCCTCTCTCCAGCCTTCTATAACGTCTTTGTACTCAGCGGATTTTGACTTTGTGAATTTATGTGCACAGTTGTGCATGTTGCCAGACATCATCAAGGCATCCGGCATTCAAGAAAAGTCTAGAATATCAGGAAGATTCATCAGTGAGGCTATGAATGCTGTCCCTGTTTCAAAAACATTACTATCAGAAGTGCACAAACTACTGAAACTGTTTTTCACAATTCCCGTCACAACAGCATCAGCTGAAAGATCATTCTCAACACTAAGACGTATTAAAACGTTTCTGCGATAGACTATGACACAGAGAAGGCTTAATGACTTGATGTGCTGCCACGCACACACAGAGGTCCTGGCAAAAGTAGACATGATTGCAGCTGCTGAAGAATTCATCCAGCATAACGAGCGACGCAGGCTATTTTTTTTTAGAAGTTTGAGGAGCGCTAAGAAAGTGAGTCTTATATATATATATATATATATGAGAGCTGGACCAGAATATTCGATTATTCGAATATTCGGTCGGTGGGTTGG